CCCACCTTGGCCCCGGCCTCCACGTTGATTTCTCGAACTGGCATTCTTGTCGCCACGGCCCACATTGCCATTTTCCGTCCGGTTCGATTGGAATTGAGGAGCGTTGTCTGCCATCTTGCGAGGTGTTGGAGAGCTCTCATAGCATCCAATTGCAGAACTAGCACAATAATAAATCTAGAGGGGCATCAACTCCAAAATTTCCAATCGGCGGCAGCGCTAGCCCACATCAGGACTAGCATTGATCCTCCCGCATTAGCGCCTCGCAGCCTTGCGGCGATTCAAGGCAACCCTCTCCATCTGAATATTTTATACCATGATACCCATTGATTGTATTTCTCAAACAACAACAGGATATCTAATTCCCAGTGCCATCTTTACGTTCACCCAGTGGCGCGCAGTGCTGTCAATGTGAATGATGAAAGTCCTTCACACTCTTTGATAACCTCTCTTATTCCTCCCGAATCCATCCTCTCATCAGCTTTCTCCACACCAAAGCTTGCGACTCCAGGGCCCTTCCAACCGCCTTCTATTATCGCATACATCTCTGCTAGCACCTGAAAGATTGGAGGTCATCCTTCAACATGGATCTCGCTCAGCAGCTTGTGCGCTCCTGCGTACGCTCCTTCTACGACACAAAGCATATCCTAGTTATTGATGCCTTGATCATTCATTCGGCGTATGTCTCCAGCTGGGGAGTATAGAAAAGGTTTGTTGACATATGCCACAGGGTCCGTGACGATGACATGGCATATCTTATGGGAATGAACACCAAAGACCTTCACAAACTCTGTGGGCGCTTGAAGGAAGATCGATTCCTAGCGGTGTATGTGATCTACTCAACCTATACATAATTTTCAAAGCTGAACTTGTGTGTCCATAGACATACTCGTCCTGAGATTAAGGAAGGTCAACAACGCCCAATGAATCGGACATACTACTACATTGATTACCGTGCCACGATCGATTCCATTAAGTGGAGAGTATACCTCATTGACAAACAAGTCCAAGGAAATACTGTACCGGCACTTGAGAGAAAGGAGTACTTCTGCCCAAGGTGTAAATCCGAGTGGACAGTCATGGAGGTGTTAGATAAGACGGGACCGGATGGGTTTCTTTGCCACAGATGCGACTTTCTACTCGAACAGGTTACGAACAACAATCAAGGAGGACATGAGCAGTCAACGAAACTGAATGCTCAATTCAAATTTATTACAGAACTTTTACCAAAGATTGATCAGGCTGTCATTCCTGAGAATAATTTCGAGCAGGCATTAAGTTCAGCAGTTAAAGTAAATCGTGACGAGACTAATCCTGCGAGCGAGACGGCTCCTCTAGACGCAGCTGCCGAAAGACCAACTGCGGTTAAGGGTTTGACCAATACTGGGCCGACCTCAATCGCTGTTACAATCACTGCATCTGAAGGACCTACTGAGGCTGATATTGCAGCTGAGAAAGCACGAAAGAAGAAAACTGCAGAACAGAACGCTTTACCTGTTCATTTTACTCATAGCACTATCAGCGGTGAGCAAGTGAAGTTCGGTGCAAATACTGGGTCACATTTGGAGTCTGCGGAACCCGATAAGAAAGCCGCGGGTTATGATACTCCTTCAGCAAATGGTGACAGCACAGAGATTGACGCATTATTTGCTAAGTTGAAGGAAGAACAAGCCAAAGAAGCGCAACAAGAGCAGGACGAGGAATACGAGACTGATGATGAAGACGACGAAGATATGGGGTTTGAGGATGTCATCCCAACAGGCACTGGTTCTGGTGTTGGAACTCCCGCTAGTTCTTTCGGAGAAGGCAAACTCACTGGTGTGCCTTCGGGTCTGGCAAGTGCGTTGAAGAAACCTAGTGCTTCCGGAAGTGGAACTAGCACAGGCGTGACAAGTCCGGTAACAGGACCAAATACGCCGAATGAGGATGGTCGGCCAGCCAAGAAGGTCAGAATTGAAGAGCCAACCCCCAAGGATGAAGAGGAGAGTGAAGAAGACGTTGAGTTTGAGGACGTTTAAAATGGTCATAAAAGTTGTCTCTTGGTGATGGGCAAACGCTTGACTGGCGTTATTCGGACTGGTTAGCATTTGACGCTCAATAGGTACGGGAACAAAAGATAGAGATGATGATACAGCACACGCTGTCTATAAAACAAAAAATTGTATACTATACACCAATAACCTTTTGTAATTAGTGTCCTATTCCCGTAAGCTAACTCAAGCTACCTCTCAATAGCACTATAACACATAATAAAGACTAACAAAAACTACCAACTCAACGGCATACAACTGAAAATAACTTTCAGATAGAACTCAGAATAGCTAGGATTGTGATCAGAAGCTCTTGCTATTTTCCCTACATTTAGCCATATATCAAATGGTGCTATTACCTTGAGAAAAAGCCTGTTCCATGTTGCAACCGTGAACAAGAAACTTAAAATTAATTATACTCTGATGACTGCAAATAGTGATCTTCATGAAATATGCTGATTATGTCAGCAGTGAGACATGTGATGAAGTGGGGTTGAAGACTTGCAACACAATATTCTCCACGACCCATCTCCCCAGCCTCAAAAACTAAAGGTGCCTGGGCACCTAGAAGTTCAGAAGACGTCCAAAATGCGTGATGTCAGGAAGTGCAGAAGATAAACCACTTCGTCACGCTTTATGCCACCTTGAGCTAAAATACAGACCCGGTAATTCACAACCTAACCCGTGAAATTAATCAACTCCTCCGCAGGTCGAAAATATGAGTCTTAAATTTCCACCTCTATATCTTCTCAAGACTCGGATTAGGCATGATGAGCTTCAAAAACTCGAGAAAGAGATGGACAATAGAGGGTTTCTAGTCTTTGATATCAAGGAAGCGGAGTTAGTTCTAGGCAATATCGGAACGAAGAAACGAGCGCAACATGATCTCCGTGCTTTACAGATATGGACGGAGGATGCCAGAGTAAGCGAAACACCTGGTGGCGATGCTCGAAGCAAAGAGTCTCCTAAGAAGCGCCAAAAGTTGAGCATTAATAATAGTGGTCGAGAAGTGATAAACATTGATTCTAGTACAGAATCCGATGAAGAAATAAACACGCAGGTTGGAAATTCAAATACTAGTCCCCCATCACAAATTTGTGGGTCTAGTTCAAAACCTGCAACCTCAGCAGCTCCAGGGGCATTCGGAGGGCCAAACGGAGGTAAATTTGGGAATATTATCAAAGTCCTGAGACTCTCCTGGTACTTCGACTCCATTACAGCGAAGATACTCCTACCAACCAGGAATTACTTGATTTACGAAGGTAGAATAATCCCGAAACCGAAGGATGTAGACCCTCTTGGATACGTCAAAACCCCCTTCAATCTATCAGAAATACTATCGCGGGCCAAAGCTGAGGCACAGGCCCCAACAGCTGTGAAGTCCAGTCATCGAAACAGATCCAGGCATTCTCAAAGTCAAGGGCCACAATCCCAAACTCGATCAACGTATCTGCTTCATGAAACAACTTCTGAGCATGATGTTGTTGAGAAGCTGCCTCCAGTCCCAGAGTACATGAAATCGCAATATTCCTGCGAAAGACCAACTCCTCTTCAATGTGTCAACGATGACTTCATATCTCAACTACGCATCATCAGAGATGCTCACATTCTAGCTGGCAAGGAGTCAGTAGGCCATGATTTTTCAAATCGTGCATACTCTGCTGCGATTTCGACAATTTCATGTTACCCGTATAAGCTGACCTCGGCGAGGGAAGTACTCAAACTCCCTGGGTGTGGACCGAAAACATCTGCCCTTTTTCAACAGTGGAAGGATCTTGGGTATCTCGAGGAAGCCGAGGAACTCAAAAATGACGAAAAGAATAAAACCTTAATTCTGTTCACCGGTATATTCGACGTTGCCGGCAAAACCGCACGTGAGTTTTACGATAGAGGATGGAGAACTCTGGAGGACGTCGTGGAGTATGGATGGGATTCTCTTCACCGGACACAACAGATAGGTGTCAAGTACTATGATGACTTTCAGAGCCGGATGTCTAGGCAGGAAGTGGAGAAAGTCGCGAATATCATCTTGGAGATTGCGAACGAAATCCGACCTGGATACCAAATGGTCATTTGCGGTGGCTACAGAAAGGGAAAACCCGATTGTGGTGATGTTGATGTCGTTTTGAGCCATCCAGATGAAGAAGCTACAGAAGGATTTCTCAGGCCTTTGCTCGATGCTCTGGAAGTCAAGGAATACGTGACGCATACCCTCAAATATTCGGAAAGAACTAGTGATGGAGGTCAAGGTTCAGTCACATGGAAAGGCGGTCGTAAGAGTGGAAGTGGTTTCGACTCACTTGATCATATGTTTGTTTCTTGGCAAGATCCAGAATGGCCCACGAAGAATAAAGACCTAGAACAAATCCCAAGAATGGAGAATCCAAATGTTCACCGGAGAGTGGATATCATTATCAGTCCCTGGAAAACAGCTGGATGTGCCATTCTTGGTTGGTCTGGTGGAACAACGTTCGAGAGAGATTTGAGACAGTGGTGTAGGGATAAGAAGAATTACAAATTCGACAGCAGTGGTGTTAGGAGTGTGTCAAGTGGCACTTGGATAGATCTGGAAAAGGGAGATGGTGATATGATTACGAAAGAGAAGAGGGTATTTGAGGGAATTGGATTGGAGTGGCGGGATCCGACTGAGAGATGTACTGATTGAGGTGTAGGATAGTTTGTTGATACCCATTTACCATATACCCTAAGTTAATTGGCGCTCCGCTGCTGCTTTAATTGTTGACAAAACCTCCTGCTGTTCCTCTGAAGGCTCCCAACTAGCCTGAAGATTCAATATTACATATTCGTCTGCCCCATCGTAGGTACACATCCTGAGATTCCCAACCTCTACAAAAACCTGCGTACCACTGACCAGCCAATCTTGCTCCGGCGCTCTGACTCTTTAACTAAAAATTGATATACTGAAACAAAAAAAAAGGGGGGGGAGAAGAGTAGATGAGAACGAAGATATATCTCCTCGTCGGGGAATCGAACCCCGGTCTCCCGCGCTTTGCCATGTAAAGGAACCCCTGTCACACATGACAAGCGGAAATCATGACCACTAGACCAACGGGGAATTGTGTTTGTTGAAGCAGTAGCGCTCATTTTGCTTTATCAATGTTGGTGGGGGACGGGCAGGGGTTGAGAAAAGGTGAGTGTGAATCACTTTTAGCTGAAAGGGTTAAGCCAAAGAGTGAATGAACTTCCTAAACAAGGGGCTATTCTACACTACAGGCTTCTCATTTGTTCGTTCCTTCTTGATCTAAAGTAATGTTTTTAATTAACAAAAACAAAAAAACACAAGTGTACCTAGAAACTGTCAAATTCCCACTTAGTCTTACTTTCATTTGTTAGCTTACTCCCTTGATAAGCCCAACATTTCAATTCCTCTTCTTTAACAGTTATCTAATTTTCAATTAACACAGCGTTATACTAAGTTCTATATCTTCTCATCAGTTTCCGGGATATGTCGCACCTCAACGAATTTTGAACTCCCTATAGAAAGTATAATGAATCATTTCCATTTGCTACTCGTAAATAACCCGTAAAGGCTAGATAGTATTAACCCTTTGAATACTGTTTAAATTCTACTTCCTTACAACCTTTGTGCACCAGAATCCTTTTACATCTCAGCATCACCGCTCTTGGCAAAACTTTGTCTAAGCGAGGCCTCCCCTTTTCACGTCATCAAAGTGTTTCACGAGCCTCGATAATTGAAAACAAAATGTCTATGTTGTGTCACGAGCTAAAATATCTTATCCTCTATCTTATCTTTGGCTCAGAGTGCCTTTTTGTTGCACTTCGGAGGCTTATCACTTATCTAATCCGCTATCTTTGTATCTTGTATCTAATCTCTGGATGATATCCTTTACCTGAACAGTATGGAATCCACACTTGCTCAAACTCTCAAGTCAAATTTTTTCACACACTTCATAAATTACACATTCTGTTCTATTTAAAATTGTGGATTGAAGGATATTTGTTAACTTGAATTACTTCTGGTATTCAGATGATTTCACCTATCTTTTCCGAGAAGATACTCACCTATGTCTCAACATTTAAAGTTAATATGGTCATAGAAACCTGGAGTCGAGTAAGTTCAAGAGATATAACTCCCATGGGGAAGAAAAGGCCACTGGAAAGAGGCCAGAATTTTTGCTTGTGGGGTCACATATAACTAACCATGCAAGCTTATACTCGACATGAAATCAATGAGCTAGTGTAGGACAGGCAGCTACGCGCAAAATTCTCAGGAATACAAAGAAGAAGCAGGGTTGAAAGTATACGGCTAGAGTAAAGCTCGAACTTGAAATGAACCCTATGCCTTTAATTCGAGATCAAGGTTTGATAGAATGAGGTAATACTCACCTGCACATTGCTATTGAGTTTTCCGCAGCATGCAGTAACCAACAAAACCTGTCCTGTTACTTTTTGGTGAGCATTCTGGAAGTGCCACAAATTGCCAAACCGTAACCATTGAAAACCTAAACCATCCCCACCTGCGTAATAATTCAGTATATATGACTAGGACGATATGCAATTTAATAACATATTACAAAGGGCAAAGTAACAATAGTTGCTGACAAGGCGATATTCAAAACTATTACTCACGGGGGACAAGATATAACTTGACTTACATGCAAGTATACCTTGCGCCATAATAATATTTCTCTTGACAACAAGGCCACCTGGATTTAATGTAGGTTTCTCCCAGCTGGTTATATTCTGCAATGGAGACTAAACCTTCCAGGCCGAACCTTAGGTAAGACTTCTTGTTTAAGTGATCATTAGTGACATTCTATGAGGTGTGCGATATGCAACAAGAGCTGCCCTCTACTTCAATCCTGTAGTCATAATGTGGCTGAAAAGAGCACACCGTAGGAAGGTCACGCAGCCTTTGACTTCAGCCTTCTCAACCCGCCAGCCGTCAATGACATTCTGCGAGAAGAGCGATGTGCAACACAAAGCCTACAGTCATAAAATAAGCTCGTATTCCTTTATTTAGCAAGAAAATGCAAGTGAAGAGTCACGAAGTCAGCAGCGACATGTTGTGTGATGCGCCAAGAGAGGCTTGGTAGGAAAAGCGTTACTGACAACTTGCGAGTGACATTTAGTGACCTGAACGATATGCAACAAATACCCAAGCCTAACAAATAATAATCTTTCAGTGTCCTACCCTAAAGAAATATATTAAGCTTCTCCATGCTAGGCCACACAGTGACATCTTGCGAAATGCATCAAAAAGACCTCAGGTGAGACATCTCAACTGGCACCTTACATCTTTCAACGCGCAACTTATATCTTTTTCTAAGTGGAAAGCCATCTCGCAAGCCAAGTCTCTTTTAGGCCTCAAACAATTTTAGCAGTGACATATGGACATATTGCGAAGTGCAGCAAATAGGCACCTGAAACTTGGTACCTGACAATACCCGAAACCGGTGACACGGTAATATTCTTAGACTTGGCTGTGGAACGGCAAGTCCCAGCTCTTCAGCCTTGGGATATAGCTAACGTTACTGCGACTTTTAGTGACATAATTGCGACACGCAGCAGTTGTAAGGCGCAAGATTGGTTATGCAGTAGAGAAAATGATGTGAAGGAGGTTTGAAAAATACTTAAGGTACGCTACTCGCCTGAGCTATCACAACAAGTACTTAAAAAGTATTTCAATCTAAGGAATGATGTCTTCTGAAAGGGTGTACTTCACAGATGAGCGCCGTGAAATGTTTCAAAGAGGTATTTTTGCAGTCAAGATTTGTTTGGGTTACGATGCGAAAGTGATTGAAAGCCACCTGCTGACATATAAGGCAAAATCGTATGCGAGATCGAAAATGACAAAAATCAGGTTTAATGCGATGTGCGACAAAACATTCACTAGCCAATCAAAAGGCATGAATCATGTGACTAAGTTTGAGAATGAAGCTTTATATAGCGGGTATTGGCAGTTTCTACGGGAAATCAGAACGTTAGTTATATAGGATCATGGCACTTAAAAGGTGTCATCAGAGACAGGTATGAATCCTAGAGGCCTATTTGCCCTAGAAATTGTGTAACTTAATATCTTCCTGATAAACGTCATAACTTTTTACCACAGGAGTTCCTAAAAATGTATTTTGAGGCGAATAATCCAACGCCAGTCATTAGAGTTCGTTTGTAAAATCGTAATAGGTTAGATATGTGGCTAGATATCGAGAGATAGTAAACTTATAGTCTCTCAGCAATCCATTTCCACCACCTTTCCACCATTGGACCATCACCACCAGACACATTACCCCCCGACACCTCAACTAATATATCAAACTCTTCCATCTGGTTGAATTTGAAATCCTTGCTTCCCACCTCACCAAGCCAGTCATCCTTCTCTTCGCTATCATCTTCCATTCCAATTCCGGAGTCTAGTAAACCCTTGCTCCTCGAAGTCCTAACTCTCGAAATTTCTGTTTCCAAGCTACTCTTGATTAATGCTGCAGGAAGAGCTGTGAATAAATCCATCTTATTTGCAGCGATCAACATTGGTATCTCCTTCAATCTCTTAGCGGCCTTATTCTTGCTCTCCATCCTCTTCTGCAACATTAATAAAACATCGTGAAGATAATCCGCTGTGCTTCTCAACCCTTCATCCCCTGCAGATAGAGTAGCTGCATCAACAAGGAAAATTATACCCTTCAGGTTTTGTGGGTTTGTGAGGTTATCCAGAGCATGGTGTCGGAGTTTACCATGACCCGGGGTATCAATCAAGAGGAATTTCTTGTGGATGAGGTTTGCAGGATCATTGGTAGAGCGATATTTATCCGAGTTTGCGGTTGTGCCAACAGGTAGGTGGCATTCGACGGAGATGGGTGATTGAGATGTGTGTGTTTGTGCAGGGTTCGTGCCACGTTCGAACTATTATGTATTAGAAACATTTATCAACTTGAATTTGGGAGCAGTTAGGACCTACAAGAGTGAGGAGGGAAGTTTTCCCAGAGCCACTTGGACCGATAAGAAGTATTGAGGGAAGTTGTGTAAGGCCACTTGCTTTGAAAACGACAGAGTGGAGGAAGATAGGAATCGTGAGGGCAAGAAGGACTGCAATAATAAGCGCAAAAGGAGAAGGGGTCATAAGGGCATGCGCCCAGTCTGATATTGTCGACATGATGCCCTGAAGTCAAAATTATTTAGACTCTTTGGTGGTCTGAAAGGCTGTGATGATGCAAGGCTTCGGGAAGTAGCTGAAATACAGTTGTTTCTGAACCCTGTACGCTTGGCAAAAGGGGTCGCTCAGCCTCGCTGGTCTTGTCAGCTTCCAGCAACCCGTAAATTTATCATTTCCCAGAAAAATCAATCAAGACGACTCGTACGGTGTAGGACCCTCTGCGAACTGAAGAGAAGTGCTCATAAAGGCTATTGAGATAGATCAAGTATCTACGAGGGACTTCTTATACTTGTTGCGCTAACATCGCGGAATGCCTGGCGACAACCAAACAAAATCGACAATTGGAGCTGCGACGAAAGGGGCAATAGCTCAAAATAATTCTCCAATCATGCCAAATGGGAAGGCATCAGTGGTGGCTCCAAAATTGAGCGACGATGACCATGTCGAGATGGAGGACATCATTGCGTCAGGGCCGTCAGAAAATGTCGCGGAGGATATCATGCAGATTGCGCGTCTAGGTGATGTTGTGGCAATGGAGAAGTTATTTGAAAGTGGGAAGTTCGATGGGAAATATTGTGATGCGGAAGGGATAACACCTTTACATGTAAGCATTTAAGGTTGAGAATTGAGGGGAAATTGCTAACGATGCTGTAGTGGGCTGCCATCAACAATCAGTATGCTATGTGCCAGTTCCTCCTAAAAGAGGGAGCAGACGTTAATAAGAAGGGAGGAGAGTCAGTAGCTACGCCAGCAATGTGGGCTGCTCAAAGATGTCATTATTATACCGTTCATCTCCTCCTCGAGCACGGTGCAGACCCCCTTATCACCGATATCCAGGGCTACAACATCCTACATCTTGCGACTTTCGAAGGAAATATATTTCTACTTGTCCTTCTTCTCCATCAAAATATCTCTGTCGATATACCTGATTCTCATGGACA